ATTTCAAAAAGGTCTGTGATGCCAAAATGTGAGGAATCAGCACGTTAGAAAGACACCTTGAAATGCTCAGGACTGTGCCCTTCGGTGCCTCACTGTGGGCTTCATTCTGGAACACGTAGGGGAGGTGACTGAGCAGCCGTGGTCCGTGACCATCCTTGATAAGAAAAGATAAGTGGCCCTGGCCGATTTGGCTCTGGATAGAGTGTCGGCCTGCAGACTGAAGGGTCCTGGGTTCCATTCTGGTCAAGGGCACATGCCAGGGTTGCAGGCTTGATCCCCTGTGGGGGGCATGCAGGAGGCAGCCAATCAAATATATTTTATTTTACTTTTAATGTTTTTATTGATTTCAGAGAGGAAAGGAGAGGGAGAGAGAAAAACATCAATGAGAGAGAATCACTGATTGGCTGCCTCCTGCACGCCCCCTGCTGGGGATCGAGCCTGCAACCTGGACATGTGCCCTTGACTGGAATCGAATCCAGGACCCCTTCAGTCCGCAGGTCAACTCTGTATCCACTGAGCCAAACCAGCTAGGGCTCTAAGCACATTTTTAAGGAACATGTCCCAATGTATCATATTTTAGGAACAGAAACACCATTACTATTTACTTTTAATTTACTACACCCATTTTTAAAAATTTGTTATGTGCATATCTCCTAAATTTATATCAACATGAATTAATGTGGGTTTAATAATTCCTTTATAATTTTGCAATATATAATTTGAGATAACTGAGTATTCCCTGCAAAAGTAAAGTTGATCATTACTTTCTGCAATTATATGTTCAAAAACAAAGTACATATTGGATGTTGGTAAATTAAAATAATAGCCTTTAAAAAAAAAGAGAGAGTAGTTTTCAAGGAAGTTCGGTTTTTTCAGGTGTTTTTCATGGACCCTAAACTTAGTATACAGAATTAATAAGTCCCCTAGTCATCTGGTTTTTCTCCCTGGAGGCCTACAGTTTCTTTTCCTCCTCTTTGTTCCATAAATGGTAGCACTCTGTAACACTTCTCAACACCTTACCTTGCTTATTTTTTTTTTTCTAGTTGTCTTGGAGATTATTCAGTATCAGTACATGAAGAACTTTCTTCTTTCCTTATGGCTAAATAGAATTGCATTTATAGTATACTGTAGTTTGCTAACTATGTTTTAGTAGGTCTCCCAAACCTTGTTGAACTCTTTTCCGCTTTTATAAAAAGGAGCTAACCACTGCTTCTCAGAGTATAAGGGTTAAGAGAAATATATAGCATTTTTTTTCTTATTTCTTTCTTGACCCCTGTTAGAAATAGCATCTTGAGTGCCTCGGGGTTTGGACTCATGAAAGGCCCAAAATAAACATTAGTTTGTTCTCTTTGTGAATTACACTTAAGTCTGATTAGACACATGAAGAAATCATGTGTTCCCAATAGTAATTTATTTGTAAAGTGCCTTTTCTTGTAATGGCTTAGTGAAGGGGCTTAGTGTCCCATGAGACGGACATGGAGGCAGATGGAACCAAAGCAACAGTCGCCCAGACCCTTGAGCCTCTGGAGAAGCAAATGGGAAGGGTGAGGGATAGTTCAGCACCTTGTGCCCTGCCCCCTCACCCTCAACACATAGACACACTCCTGATTGTTGTCTTTCCTGCAGCCTTGGGGAGCAGTACTACAAAGATGCCATGGAGCAGTGCCACAATTACAATGCCCGTCTCTGTGCTGAGCGCAGCGTGCGCCTGCCTTTCTTGGACTCACAGACCGGAGTAGCCCAGAGCAACTGTTATATCTGGATGGAAAAGCGACACCGGGGTCCAGGTGAGGGTTCAGACTCAGGAGCACAAGGAAGAAGAAGCTTCCTCATTTCAGGGGTGAGCCGGCTGAGAGGGTTTCCCAACTGCTTTCCACATGGATGGATCTGGTCTCCCCATGGTTAGAAGCCCAGGGAGGAAGCAGCAGACAGGTTCATACCAGCTCCTGGGTTTTCTGCAGGACTGAGGCTGTTATCGGGCTTCTGCAGAGTTCTGTGTCAGCCAAGGCCCCTGAGTTCACATCTGTTTTTCTTTTCTATAAATTACCTCCTGCCCCCCCGCCCCCGGCATTGCCCATATTCTTCCTTTGCTCTAGAACTCCTGGGGCCTATTCATCTAGAAAGTGTTCGATACTATTTTCTAGAACTGGGTTAGGGCTTGACTTCTCTCTCTTCCTTCCACAGGATTGGCCTCTGGGCAGCTGTACTCGTACCCTGCCCGGCGCTGGCGGAAAAAGCGGCGAGCCCACCCTCCTGAGGACCCAAGACTTTCTTTCCCATCTATTAAACCAGGTGAGCCCACTCCTTCCTGAGCGGGGTCCTGGCCCGCTGCATGGCAGGCCTGCCGTTCTGTTATATGCCAGTCCTAATGCTAGATTGTGAGGACACCAAAATGAATAAGATGTGATCCTTTCTTTATAGAACTCGGTCTAATAGAAGAGACAGATAAACAGATAACTTACGGTGCCAAGTGAACTAGGGTGTCTTGGTGCCTGGGCAGCCAGAGACCAGAAGACAGTGACTGGCCGGTGGCTGGCCTAGCGCTCTGTAGACCAGCGCGGTCTGCTTTCAGCCCTTCTGAGCCTTGCCTCATCCTGACCTTGCCTGCAGACACAGACCAGACCCTGAAGAAGGAGGGGCTGATCTCTCAGGACGGCAGTAGTTTAGAGGCTCTATTGCGCACTGACCCCCTGGAGAAGCGAGGCGCCCCAGATCCCCGTGTTGATGATGACAGCCTGGGCGAGTTTCCTGTGACCAACAGTCGAGCACGGAAGGTACAAAATTAACACTTTGGCTAAGGGAGCTTTGATGGTACGGAGCCTTCTCCTCATGAGAAGCATAATGAGAACGGAGGCAAGCTGTGGGCCAGGAGGCAGGCCCCGGAGTTCTGCTGAGTCCCTAATTAGTGCTGGGTACTGACCAGCTTCACTGTCTTTCCCGCTCCTTTCCTTCTAAGTTCAGACTCTCCCTCATTCATCTGTCACAAAAGTTTTTGGGTGCCTGGGGTTACATAAGTGAAATAGACCTGGTCCCTGCCAACAGGCACATAAAAATAATAAGAGCTAAAATTACTCCAGGCACAGTACTAAGTGCTTTTCCATCATTTTCTCCAGTTTATACAACCTTATGAAGTAGGTACTGCGTCCCCATTTCACACAGAGAGGCTGAAACAGCAGTTAACAAAAATTCCCCATAAGTCCACACAGTTAAGAAGGAAGGCTCTAAATCTAGTAAGTGAGGCGCGAGAAGGGGACACCGATAAACGTGCTTCTAGGGCAGCAGATCAGAGGCAGGAGAGGGCATGGTCACTTGGGGTGTCGGAAATCTGTCTGGAAACATGGTGGGAAAGGCATTCCAGGCTAGGGGAACAACATGAGTGGCACAGAGGAGGGCGAGCCCAAAACATCGAAGGGAGAAGGGCAGAGTTATAGGGTGTTGAAGGGTAGCAGTGAGAAATGAGGCTAGAGTCACAAAGGAGGTTCTGGTAGCCTTGCCACCGCCATTGTAGGGGAGCTTTTGGACGTATATTATTTCTGTCCATCCTAATCCTAATCCTCCTGTCCACTCAGCGGATCCTAGAACCGGATGACTTCCTGGATGACCTCGATGATGAGGACTATGAAGAAGACACTCCCAAGCGTCGGGGCAAAGGGAAATCCAAGGTGAGGGGCCAAGGTGCTGCCTACAGCCTGGGGCAGGGAAGCCTGTGGATTGAGTGAGATGAGCAGCCACTTCCAGGAGAGTTTAAACTCCTTAGCCCCAGACACCTTAGTAAGAGCATCTTTTTGCTCTTTTTGGCAGGGTAAAGGTGTTAGCAGTGCCCGTAAGAAACTGGATGCTTCCATCCTAGAGGACCGAGACAAGCCCTATGCCTGTGACAGTGAGTGCCCCCTGAGTGGGTGGGTAGTCCTTGCCTTGGACCCAGCTCCTGCTCAGGATGTGAGAGGAGGGAGGGCTGTGTTCTTGCTCAGAGCGGTAAAACAAGCCTGGACTCTTGTCCTGCCTGCTGACTGATTTCCTCTGGGACCTCAGGGAGGCCTTGCATTCTGCTACCGGGTGGGTGGGACCTGCATGCTCTGGGAGAGACTTCTGCTATCCCCTGGGGGGAGGGGGCTGGTGAAGGGGCCAGACACAGCAGGCAGAATCAGCCTCTTGATAGATGGCATCCAGGTCTGCTGGCCCCAGAAGTCCAACACCAAGTTTTTCAACGTCTGTTCTCTCTCCCCCTTTGCTCTGACCTCCCACTCTGTCCCTCCACCCTGGGAGCACCATCGCCGCTGAGGTCTCTCTCTCGTTTGCTCCGCTTTCCTGCTGCTGCTGCTCCTGTCTCAAGTATATCAAGGCCTTCTTCTCATGACTTTTCTTTCTGTCTTTCAGATAGTTTCAAACAAAAGCATACCTCGAAAGCGCCCCAGAGAGGTAGCTCTCTCAACTTTTCAGACTTTTGGTTTTCCTATCCCTTTTTCCCTCCTCCCTTGTTCCTCTTGCCTTTCTCATCTCCTGTGATGCTGGTTTAAAAATCTCTGGAATGGCTTGGGGATGGGAGCAATGGGCTTCTGTTGTGCTCCAATCCTCAGTCCTGGAGGCTGCCTTTCCCACTGCTTGTGTCCCACAAACTTGCTGCTAGGGCTGCTCAGGCCCACTGCATGGGGTGGCTTCAAAAGCATTATAAGAAACCCGTTACAAACAGATCCCTCTGCTCCCCTTTCCCCCAAACAGCCACTTGGTGGTGAGCTAATGTTCCCATCATCCTGCCAACTCCTCCTCCCATCCTCTTCCCACTCCTTTCCTGCTGGCTCCCTGGCATTTCTTGGTATTACTGCTCAAAAGTACAAGGTGCCTCATGGAGATCGCTTTCCCTGTTGGTTGGTGGGGTTGGGCAAGGCACTGATTGGTTGGGAGTGTCTTTGAATTTCTTTGGGGGCCAGCTGCCTTGCAGACTCAGTTGACAGGTTATCCCCAAGAGACCCAGGCCCTAAACCTTTATCCACTGGGCAGAGATGGGCTCCATGTTATATGCGGGGTATATATACAAGCCTCCCTCATTTACTAAGGGGCGGGGAAAGTTTGGATTATCTTTCTTACCTTTCCTCTCCTCCCTATCATATTGCAAGACTATAGAAATTCCCTTTCCTTCCTGACCTGCAGCTCCCCAGACTATTCCCAGGGCAAGTGTTGATGGGGCCCGGGCTCAGTCTCACAGACAGCTAATGTGGAAGAGTAGAGGTGGCCATGGATTGGGGTTTAGCAGGGAGAAGAGCCATGGAAGCTGGAGCGCCCCAGGGCCCGATGCTCCTCATCAAGGAGAAGCAGCCGCCACTAAAGGCCTGTCCCAGAACAGAGCTGACTGGGGTGGGGTGGTTGTCTCTGACTCCGGTGGAGCCCACAGCTTAGAGGGAGAGGGATGTGGCACTCTCGGATCCTAATACCCCTCTCTGCAATCTTCTCCCCACTCAGTCTGTGGAAAACGTTACAAGAACCGACCAGGCCTCAGTTATCACTATGCCCACTCCCACTTGGCTGAGGAGGAGGGCGAGGACAAGGAAGACTCTCAGCCACCCACCCCCGTCTCCCAGAGGTCCGAGGAGCAGAAATGTAAGCGGAGGTGTCAGAGTGGGACAAGCAGGAGTCGGCCTGGTTATGAAAAACCCTCCTTTTGGGGATGGTGAGAGACCTCAAGGCCCCCAGGGGTATCAGAGTTCTTTCTTTCTCACTGTAGCCAAGAAGGGTCCTGATGGATTGGCCCTGCCCAACAACTACTGCGACTTCTGCCTGGGGGACTCAAAAATCAACAAGAAGACAGGACAGCCCGAGGAGCTGGTGTCCTGTTCTGACTGTGGCCGCTCAGGTACTTCCAAGGGCAAGGGCTGCCACAGCCAGCACCCAGTCCCCAAGCGGCTCTTGACTTGTCAGTGGCTGTCACAGTCAGCCAGGTCACCTCGCCTCTCCCCCATTTCCAGCTCCTGTTTTACTTGCTCCTCCCCCCACAGGGCATCCGTCTTGCCTGCAGTTCACGCCTGTGATGATGGCAGCAGTGAAGACCTACCGCTGGCAGTGCATCGAGTGCAAATGCTGCAACATCTGTGGCACCTCCGAGAATGACGTGCGTGTCCCTGCCCCTCCAAGCACACTCCTCAGCTCTTACTGTTTTTTCCACGGTTCCCTCTAAAGTGAGCTTTCCAGTAAGAGGGGGCAAACTCGGCATGCCCCTCCCCAGCGTCCTGGGTGGAACTTTGTTTGGCAGGTGTTTACTGACAATCTATGTGGTGTCAGACACTGTTCTAGACACTGAGCACACCAAACAAGACAGACAAGGTCCCTGGTTTCATGGAATTTATATTCTTGTGGGAATAAGCAAGGAAACGACATTTTTATGATGTGCCATGAAGAAAATGAAACCAATAATGTGGCAGAGAGAAACTGGCGACTTGGATAGTCAGAGATGGCTTTTCTGAGGAGGTGATGTTGTTTTGAGGTTTGGATGATACCAAGGAGCCAATCCAAGAAGATTTGAGGGGGCGCATTCCCAGGAATGGAACAGCGAGAGCCAAGACCTCAGGCGGACAAACCAGTGTAGCTGGGTGGAGCCTTCTTGCACTGGGAGAGCAGGTAGAAGATGAGATTGGAAGGCAGGATCACCACGTCTGAGGGTTTAATCAGGGCAGTGATGTGGCATGTCTTATAAAGATAACTTTGCTGCTCTTCTTAGATTGCAGGGGACACTGGGGACCATGAAATCAGTTAGGCAGCTGATAGGGTAGAGATGCCCATGTCTGTCCTTACCTGCCACTTACCTCATCTTTCTTGGAAGTAGCAGCAGTGTCTACATAGCTCTCCTTCCTGTCTGTCCCCAGTGGCCTACCTGAGGCCCATCAGTCATTCACCTCCTCCCTTCCTCTTCTGTCGTGCCTTCTCTAGGACCAGCTGCTCTTCTGTGATGACTGTGATCGTGGCTACCACATGTACTGTCTTACCCCGTCCATGTCTGAGCCTCCAGAAGGTAGGTCGCCTGGATCTTTCACTCAGAACAATTATTAGTAACTTGGACCACCACCTGTATAATAAATGAGTTCTCTTATCAGTAATATATCCTTCCAAATTGGGGAGGAGGCACTTTGCCTTCACTCAGTTTAGAATGCTTTCCTAGGATTTCAACTTCACATGTATCATGATTGCACATTATCACCAAATAAATGTGCAAACACAACATCAACAGTCCGAGAGAGAGCAGACACCGAGCAGAGAACAGTTGCCACAAGGAGTGATTTGTTTTCCCCATTAGTCCAGGAAACTCACTCCATGACTTGTCTGAAGTGATGTTTTGGTACCAGCTCTTTGAACCTGACAAATTTGAGTGTCATTTTTACCCAGTCTGGAAGGGACTTGAACCTGGAGCCTGAATGGGTCACTCTGGGCCTTCAATAGTTTGTTTAATAATGCTCCACGTTTATGGAAGCTCTTTGAAGAAACCAGTGATGGCACCAAAAAGTGGCTACCTCTCCACAAGGCCCCTTCCGGCCAAATTTCTGTGCTAAACCCTCCTTTATAGAAATTCATGAGCTTACTCAGGAGATGTGAATGCCCAGAAACTGTTACTGTGCACAGAGGATGTGGGCCAGCATTCCAGGCAGGAGAGTGACTCACTATGTGATGTAAGCTAACGTGTAAGGTCAAGTAGTGATCCTCCCCTCCCCCCAAGAGAAACAGGCCAGTGACAGAGTCTGAGTCTTTAGCAGCTGCTCTTGGCATCCGTCATGCTGAGTTTAGAAATCTACTTTGGGGAGAAGTAATGAGTTCTGTGTTTTACTTTTTTAACCATAAAGTATCAATTACTGATAAAATTCTGTATTAACTGTAGAAGGCTTTCCTTTGGAGAGCTGCAGACAGCAGGGGGTAGGGGGGCATAAAAGCCATCAGATGGCATAGGCTCTCAGTCAGGGGTTGGCAGGCTACCCCACAGCCAAATCTAGCTGCACCTAGTCTAATTAGCTTTCAAGCTAAGAATGATTTTTGTTGTTTTTTTATTTTGAGAGTATGTTTATTAAAACGGGAGACAGTGACACAAAGGAAGTGCTTAGGGTAGAAGAGGCAATAGAGCGAGCCTAGGTGCTCTGCATTGGCTCGCTAGAAATATTATGGAGAAGAAGTGACCCACAGTGGGGCTGTGAGAACTCACTGAAAAGTCAGAGAAAAGGGGGCCTTGGGGACAGAATGAGAGGGTTAGCCCCGATGAGCTGCCGCTGCCTGTTGCCCCCCTGGTTAAAAATGACTACCTCTCCACAAGGCCCCTTCCGGCCAAATTTCTGTGCTAAACCCCTCCTTTATAGGAATTCATGAGCAAGTCTGTGTGGACCTTTAGAGTTTAGGAGAGAAAAGATGCACACTCGAGAGGGAAGAAAAGCGTGGGTGTGCTCCAGAGAGGGGGAGAGTGAGAGTGAGGGAGAGAGAGAGAGAGAGAGAGAGAGAGAGAGAGAGAAACATCAGTGATGAGAGAATCATTGATTAGCTGCTTCCTGCACGCCTCCTACTGGGGATCCTGGGCATGTGCCTTGACTGAGAATCGAACCGTGACCTCCTGGTTCATAGGTTAATGCTCAACTACTGAGCCATGCTGGCCGGGCCTCCAGGTGATTCTTTCATCACCATTGAGAATTATTTTTCATGGTATTTGAAGACCTAGCAGTTTCTCCCAGTTCAGGATAACTATGAAATTTTGCTATGCAGAACGTCTCCCATCCTGCCTGTGGCCAATCCTGATACCAGAGATGTGTGGGGATTGGAGGGACAGCAGCTTAAGGTTGTGTGGGAGCCATCCTAACCCCATTGTGCTTCTCTGCAGGAAGTTGGAGCTGCCACTTGTGTCTGGACCTGCTGAAGGAGAAAGCTTCCATCTACCAGAACCAGAACTCCTCTTGATGTGGCCAATTCCCCTGTTCCCCCAAACATCTAGGGCTGTTTCCTCCTCTCTTATTTTTCATAACCATTTTCCCTTCCTCCTCTCTTTCAAAAGTCCAGAGAACCTGGGGGGTGGTGGTGCCAACTTGCCTTTGGCTGCAGCAAGCTAAAGTGACAGCTCTGACTGCTTCTGGCCCCAGGCCTCAGGGAGAACGGAGCAACATGCCCCAAGGTGTACCTGTGGGCCCAGCTTCTCATGGCTCTCCATGAAGTGCATTCACTTTGCCTGCCTTGGGCCCTGGCCCTGATGATCACAGGTTCACACGGTGTCCACTGAGAAAGAGTGGGAGGAAACAGCTCACTTCTCTCTCAGCTTTGCCTCCACACTGGTCTCCAGGGTTTTCCCTTCCCCCAGGGGTGAGTCAAGCTGGGACCTCTTTACCAGGAGTAGCTGGTAGTGAGCAACTGAGTAAATTGAGGAAGAACTTGCAAGGAGCTTTCCATGCCCTTCCTGCTGCTTAGCCTCACCACCCCCTTCCCTCAGAGTGGCTCTCTGCAGCCTCTGTTCCTGCTACTGAGGATCCTTTGCCCAAGCCAGTAGGTTCTTGGTCACCCTCTGCGTTCTGCCCTGTCCCATCCGGGGGGAGTAGCAGCTTCACCCTAATTCTTGTGCTTACCTGGCTTACTCTCAACAGATGGTCTCCAGTGACTGCAGCATTCCCCACTCTTGGAATTTCCTATCTCCGCTTCCCTTCCTTATTCCCTTTGGTTTTGTGGGGAGAGGAAGCATCAGGGGTCCAGGCCAGCCGCTTGGGGGTCAGGGAGATGTTGGACAATGTGCCTGTTTTTTAACTCGATAAAAAAGCCTACCTCCGTAATCCCCTTTTTGTTCTTCCTGGACCTGGGTATTCAGCTCCTGCCCTTAACTGAATTGAGAGTCTCTGCCTCCTGTTCTGTGGGCCCTGGGTCCTGGGTCACAGGGAAGCCACAGACAGCCCTCTCTTCCCTTGCACGCTCACTCGCAGCTGGTAAGGTCTTCACACCCTGATAACTCCGTTTTCTGCTTGGTAACACTCACGTAGTGGGAGGGATACTCCATGCTAGGACACCCTGGTGTGGCCTTCCCCTTGGCCATGGGCAGGCCCTCATTCACTGTTGCTTTGGAGTTGTGTCTTTTTTCTTTCTTTAGTTCCCGTATTCTAAACATTAGTACAAATAAACATTTTTACACAGAGCCTTCTACTGAATGGTTTATCTCCTGAATCCCTTTCCTGGTTATGAAGGCCACTTTATTCTAAAACTTTCTTAGGACTGTGAGGTCTTTTAATTTTTTTACTTTATTGATTTTAGAAAGGAAGGACAAGAGAAAAAAACATTGACATGAGAAACATTGATTAGTTGTCTCCCGTATGCACCCTGACCAGAGATTGAACCTACAGTCCTTCGGTGCACATGAGGACACTCCAACTGAACCACACCACCCAGGGCAGGACTGTTCCTTAATGTTTTGAAATACAACTTTTTCTCTCAAATTAAATTTTTTTTTCCAAATTAAAATTTTTGATGAACTCCACTCTGTAAAGCAGATAGAAAATTGGGTACTTTAATTTCTTATTAAAGTCAGGTTATAACAGTTCCTTGTTACAAAGTACAATGAATTGCCCTAGCCAGTTTGGCTCAGTGGATAGAGCCTCAGCCTGCAGACTGAAGAGTCCCAAGTTCGATTCCGGTCAAGGGCACATGCCTGGGTTGTGGGCTTTATCCCCAGTAGGGGATGTGCAGGAGGCAGCCAATCAATAATTCTCTCTTATCATTGATGTTTCTATCTCCCTTCTTCTCTGAAATCAATAAATATGTTTTAAAGGAAAAAGTTGTCAAGGTTCATCCATGTTATATGTAGCATCTATGAGGGCTTTAAAAAAAATGAAGTTGTTTTGATTAATACAGAATTTGTAGCCCTGGCAGGATGGCTCAGACAATTGGAGCGTAGTCCCATACACCAAAAAGATTGCAGGTTCAATTCCTGGTCAGGGCACATATCCTTGGGTGAGGATTAAAAAAAAATAAGTGGGAGAACAAACTGTTCTTTCTCTCTCTCTCTCTTTCTCCCTCTCTCCCTCTCCTCCTCCTCTCTCTTTCAAAAAGGCAATAAATAAATTTTAAAAGATAAAAATAAATGCTACTGAATTGTATAATATGATGTAAAGGAGAGAATGACACAGGAAACCTATTGACATCACGATGGGACACATGAAAGCTTTTCATAGGAGTAATGAACATGAGCAGAGGCAGCTCAGCCACACGTTCCTGTTCATTTGAGAGCAGAGTGCACGAACTCAGCTGGGATGCAGGACTGCAGCCTTCCTCTGGGAATGGTTATGTGCACAGTTTTCTTTCCCTGAAGCCAGCATGTAGACAGCTTCCATAGTGGATCTTACTAAAGATTTGAATCAATCTGTTACAAACCCTCAAAATATCTTTAGGGTTTTCTGGAACAGTCTGAAAGCCCCTGTTACCTAATACAGTGGCCTGGGCCACTGCCGGTAGTAAGCAGGGTGACCTGGGCTGGGAATTGAGTTAGGACAGGAACGCAGCCCCTGCCCTCACGCTTTCACACGTAAGTAGGCCTGGGGTAGAGGGACTAAAGCAATGATCCTCGGTGGCTGAGCAGCCTAAGGGGCAGAAAAGGGGAAAAAAGGGGGACTTTACTAGTATAGCAAGCATACTAGTAAGTGAGGAAATTCGGAAAGGGTTTGCAGGAGATGGGTTTCCTGTGTCATTCTCTTACATTTAGGAGGGGACACGGAAGGATAGGGGCCGATTGAGGTGGGGGAGGAAGCCTATGAGAGGAGAGGGGGGACTCTGCTGTGAGGGAAGGAAGGGACGCTGGGAAGCAGGTGAGCTTGAGAGCCTGGGGCCTTGGAGCCAGGTGAAGGTACCTACATGTAATGCATAGAACAGGCCCAGGCAGAACTGCAGGTTACTAAGGAAGGGAATGCGCATACATCTTGGGTTTAGAAACTTGAATCTTGCCCACAG